AAATGTTGTGAGTTTCCAAAAAAAGAAAACGAAAGACTTTGTGGAAAACTTGAATGAAGAATACCAAACGCGTAATGAGCACCGTCCATACAGAACAGCATTGAGACGGGTTTTAGTCTCCACGCACATGAGGTATACCAAACCTCTGTGATGCGATGGGCGTGGCCACGTACTTCTTTTGAAAGTTGATGCCGGCGTCTCCGTTTTTGGTGGGACATTTTCATTCTGGGACAATCACGCCTTTGTCCGACACAATACATTATGACAGGTATCTCAAGTTGAAATATGCCACGAAGCGCAGCCACGCCTACCACTTCTCAGGGACGTGTTTTATTAGGTTGTCCGGAAAGTTCTCAGCGTTTTGTGTTACTATTTTTTGTACATTCATTGCTGATTAAAAACTCATTCTCCCTTGCGTCTCAGTAGTACATCCTGAAGAGAATTTTTTGCGCTATCTGATGGTATAATTGCCGTTTCACCATTGCTTGATAAACCCCCTTTTCCCAAGACTTTTTCAAGCATGTCAAAAGACTTCGGACGACAACTTTCTACAATTGGGTCAGTCCGCAGTCGAACCTCGTAGCGGTCGACCTAAAGCAATACCTGACGAGGATTTGAAGGCGTTTGTGGAGGCTGACCCATCCCAAACAGTTCGAGAGATTGCAGAAAAGCTAGGCGTTGGCAAATCCACTGTTGCGGATGGTCTGAAACGCATTGGGAAGGTGAAAAACTCGACAAGTGGGTGCCCCACAATTTGAGTGACCGGCAGAAATTGGCACGTCTCGAGGTTTCTTCTTCACTGCTTTCACAACAGAAACGACCCGCTTTTGGACCGAATTGTCACCTGTGATGAAAAGGAGATGCATGGTCTGATTTACATGGACACGGACAGTAGTTGGACGCCGACGAACCACCGAGGCAATTTCCAAAGCCGAATCTTCACCAAAAAAGATTATGGTCACAGTGTGGTGGTCATCGGCTGGTGTGATCCACTATAACTTTTTGTCACCATGGCCTAACTGCAAAATTGCGCTCAGCTGCAGCCAGCACTTAGACAACAGGAAAGGCTCCCGATTGCGTTTGCATCGACAACGCCGCGCCCGCACGTTTTGCACAAAATCGCTATCCATAAACTGAACGAATTAGCAGGTTGAAGTTCTACTTCATTCCGCTCTACCTATACTCCAGACCTTTCATTCCAACCGACTTTATCACTTTTTGAAACATTCCTCACCGTATAGTTCCTTGCCTGGAAAAACTCATCAACTCAGAAACCAGGCAGAAGAAGCCTTCGTGGCATTTCGTGGGCTTCTCGACCACCTAGCTTTTATTCTTTATGTGGATTCGCATCCATTGGTGTCACTATGCCGCCAATAAGTGTGCTGATTCGAAATTTGGTGCTTATTTCGATTAAATCCCCCCACCCGCCCCCCCCCCATGTACCCGATGTTATGATGAATCCGAGTGATTAACAAAAAGTTATGATCGTTTGAAGTGAAACACTCAAAACGCTGAGAACTTTCCGGACAACCTAATATTTCATGCCCACTTCATATCAGTCCCTTCGCTTCATATTTTACTTCGCAAATGAAGCAATACGAGCATCAGGTACGTCGTCCATTTGTGGGCGGGCGGGCGCGGTGGAATCGGTATATTGCAGCTTGATAGGGTCTTATAAAGTACCGACTTCCTTGGAAAAGGCAGCCCCTGCTCAGGGGCGCGAAATTCCGTTCTGCCAGTGTATTAATCCTAATCTTCTTAGGAACTTATCGTGCCAGCGGCCTTTTGAGTCTTCGCTGATTGCTCCGATCAAATTTTTTTAAACAATCACGGTATTCCTCACAAAAAGTGAGCCTCACCTAAAATTGCTCCAAACAAGTCCATTCTCATAGAGAATCACAAACGTGTTTTCAGATGGTGAGCTGTGAATTGAACTTGACTTGCTGTTGATGATACACGTGTCCGGTGTCCATATTCGTTTACGGAAATCGGACTAAAAACATAAGATAAGGTTTTCAGTGCACCAAACAATTCAGGTGAAAATTCGAATAAAAATGGAATAGGTGGTGGTTTAGCCAACCCTCCACAGGACATGAAATAGATAGAGAAGGCGAATTACGAGTTTTCATTCATCGGAAAAGAAAAGCATAGAGCTACCTTCAACGTAATATTAGTAGCACAGACGTTGAGATGTTTGAAGGCTAGCCGCGGATCTTGCCATATTTCACTATACATGACGTCCAATGAAAAATCACCGGTGATTTCCGATATACCCGAAACGCCCTGAAAAATTAGCAAGTGTCAGGTAGCTGACAGTAAGGCACCAACATGACACTGTAATGAATTCTGATTTTGTTACTACTTTTGTTCCTATTCCTTTGATAAGAGTCCTGCATTCTGATTGGTAAACCTCTTCGAACAACACAACCATAATGAAACAGTGGTATGCAGTACGCTCGCCAGTGCTGTCAAGAACCTTAGCGGTCGATGACAGAACTGAAAGCTCGGAAGCTGTCAGTGTTGCTTCATCCCT